CGGGGCGTGCAGGGGCACAGCGAGAGGGAGCGGGGCTGCAAGGGACGCCCCCGCGGCAGCGCTCTGCGGCGATCCAGGAGCGGTGAGGCGGTGTGGGCACACAGCACGTCATCGGCGAGAGAAGTCTGGCACGGCACAGGTTTTCAGCTCGGCAGAGGCCCGGGGCAGGGCAGTGCTCTGAGGGACGGTGCCGGGTCACTGCCGTGCCACCAGAACCAGCCTCGTCTCCTTGGCTCCCGTGGCGGGGGACAGCAGGGCCTTGTGTCCCCACCGGGAGCCGCCGCACGGGCACCGTGCCCATCCACCGCTGTAGCTCGTGGTGAGCTCGACGTCAAAGGAGCTTCCAGTTACTTGCCTTGAGGCAGTGCGGTCTGGGCACACGGCAGGTGATCCGGCACCAGCCAGCAGCAACACGTGCTGCAGTTACTTCATACCCACAGAATGGAACTGTTTGTGGAAACTTCCAGCCTTTCACTTTAATAACACTTGAGTGCTAAAATGCTGCTTTTCTTTGAACCAGTATAATTACCATCAAGATAATTTTTGTTAAAAAAAACCCAAAAAACCGTAAAGACAATATTGAATTTCAGCAAACAGGCACACGTTTGTATTACAGGCAGCACCGGTGCTGGGAACATGATCGTTCCTGCTGCAGCAGCAGCCGGGTAGCAAGAGACTGGGGAAATTTCATCATTTTTTTCCATTAACAGAAAAGATGCAATCAGATTGAGACACATTAGACAGACACAGCCTTTAAAAAGCAGAAATCTGCTAAAGGGGTTTTGTAATGCCCCGTTCTCATACACACCAGTTTTGCTTACAAAATCATATGCCTGAGTGAGGGAAAAATGGGACTCAAGTGGCTTTCTGACTGCAAGTGAAAAATACATTGTTCCATAAACCTACTTTTGTTCATCAAAGCTGTTTGCAGCGCTTAACCGGGCAGGTGAGGGACTCTTTGGGTGAGCCATCTGTCAAAATAAGCAAAGGGACAGGTCTTGGAAGATGAACTTAGTACTAATTACGACTGAGATAAAATATAGTGTGATTCTTAACTGACTGTCTTAACTGACAAAATAAAATAGACACAGCAAAAAATAAAACCATGTTATTAACCCTCAGATCTTGTTCTCTTGCAACCTGGACCTATGAAGTTTTGAGGCAATGAGGCACTAAAATGGCCATCAAAAAAGCAACTTTTCCTCTTAGCATTGTCAAACAACCTGCTGGAAGACAGGCAACGGCATTTCCATTCTGCAGTTGCTTTACCATTAACAATGGGAATCAGTAAACCAAGCACCCTTATTTGTGGATCTTTAGGGCTTTTGGATGAGAATTGCAGAGACCCTAACGTATGTAACACGTACCAATGGCACCGTGCTGTGGGGAAAACAATCGGCGTGAAATACGATGGATTTTAAAGCCAGTTTATCGTTGCAAAAAGAGAGACACCGTGACTTGCCTGAAATTTGCGCCGTAGTGCCTGTGTCATTATTGGTGTCAACCCAGACCCACATTCAATGTTTTCTTTATTATTTAGTGGAGTGCCACCAGGACTTCTGAAAAGGTTGGTAACAAGGGGAATTAGGATTAGTTCTCTTGTTTTGTTGTTTTCTAGAAAAAAAAAAAAAAGAGAATAGAAAGGAACTTACCTTTGTATATTGACTTTCTTCAGATGTTTTCGAAGATCTAACTGATTTTTAGGAGGGGTACTAGAAGAACAAAACAAATTGTTAAAATAAAATATTTTCCATTCCGTAAACAATGTTAATCACTGTTTAGAACAGAAAAATCTAATCTCAAAGAAAGGAAGAAAGCATCTTACATTAAGGATTTTGTAACATGAGCTGATGGCTTGGATTTAGGTCTCAGGCTAATACTCTGTAAATCTGAGACGGTAATTAATGCCCTGCATGTTTTCAGTGGTGATTCTGCCTAAAATGAGAAAAGAAATGTTACCATAAATAAAACTTCAGAAGGTCTCACTGAGCTTAAATGTTTAATATTTATATTCTGAAAGATTTCTGTGGTTTATGGCTTTTATGCTTTTTTTGAATCATTAAGGTTTGAATGTGTCTTGGATCAAAATAGATTTATTAAAACCCCCACTTTTGCAAACAAGATTTCAGCTGGGCAAAAGAAAGCCCCAAATCTATTGGTTACACACAGTCATAAAGCTACACGAAAGCTACATGCCCTTCAAGTAAATTTAGAACTGTCCTGCACACCAGACCAGATTGGAGTTAGTCACGTAATTTCTTCACATCAAACACCCAGATGCAGAATTAGAACGATTACTTAAAGCTGATCACTGGGGTTTTGGAAAATAATTAATTTCTAGAAAAAATTCTTTGAGGGGCTAAGACAAGCATTGCAGGGAATACAGCGGTTCCAGGGTGGAGTTTGCCTCGATACACCATCATCTATTTATCCAACTGTCCTCCGGTTTACCTTGTCCATTCTCAGGCTGCTGTCCGTCTTCTTCAGTTTTACATTCAGGAGGTCTTTGAGAGTGACCTGCATCGGCCCATCTTTCTTCAGTGGCAGTGCCTGAAAACCAAGGTGGTTGGAAGGGAAATTAGCGTTGGCAGGCGACCGAGCGCTCATGGAGACACACGTTCCCAATGAAACCAGGTCCAAAGAAGCCAGCCACGAGAGAAAAACACAGAGGGGGGTTTCACTCCCTACCAGAGGTGCTTTAGAGCCATTGGCCCTTTTGAGGAGGAGAGGTGCTGGAGGCAGTTTTGGTGGGGGCAGCGGTGGTGGCGGCGGCGGCAGAGGTGGAGGGGGTGCAGACACAGGCTGCAGCTGTATTGCAGAAGGCCCGGGTACCGATGGCAGCGGGCCCATCTGTGTTTGTACAGGAGCACCCAGAACTGGTTTATTACACCTTTGACAAAGAGAATTTTCTGAAGAAAAGGCTGCAATTCCATTCATCTGAAAACAATTTAAACAGATAGGAGAATATTAAATCCACTGGCAAAAGTAGATGGAATTTTAGAGAACAAAGGTTCTGGCTTCAGCTGATCCAGAAAGACATAAAAAGTGTCGTATGAGGCTTGCCAGCAAACCAGTTCCCTCTAGCTATGAGGTAACTGCAGTTTAGCAATGCCGAATGCAAAGAGGTGAAACACTGCCCAAAGAGCAGCTCTCAAGATTTCAGGTTATCTGCACTGACCGCAGTTCCTCACGTGCCTACGCAAGCAAACATTACCCTGCCCCGCCGGGACTGAGACTGACCTGGAGTGTCCCTTGTAGTCTGGAAAATTCAGTTTCCAGCTTTTCCAGCTGCTCTCTGAACGTATTTAGCTCCTTTAAGTAGATTTGTGATGGAAATATGGTGTCTTTAACCACCTTAAAACTCTAAGCATAAAAAGAAATGAGATAAGTGTTTTCACTGAGTTGTGTTTCCAGAGACAGGGCTATGATTGCTATGGAAAGTTCTATCGCAACGTTTTATCGTAGTCAACAGAAAAGGCACAACACAAAGATACAAAATTTCACCAAATATTTCCTTGGCAGGAGCCCAGGGAGTGACTTCCTTCAAAAAAACCCCTAACTTCATCTAGGAATTCTAAAGTATAATTCACATTTGACTTGAAAAGCTCATGCAATCATTTCTGCTATGAAGGAAAGACTGCACCCTTTGTCACTGCAAGTCCTGATGTTCCAATAAAAACCCTACAACTGCATGTATGCCTTTAACATCTGCAGTTGACACTCTTCTCATTTTGTTCCTTCAAGAGTAAACAGTTATTGTACTTTAGATGTTTCAACAAGCATAACTAAATTTACAGCTTAGCTCCCAAATCTGACTGTATATCCTACACCTGAGCGCTAAGGACAACTTCGTGCATTGGCAAAAATAGAGATGTAGAAAACTGACCTGTGCAACTGTGTTCTGGCACCAGCAGTACAAAAACGATGCTGTTGTTGTAAAGGGTTTTACCACATCTTTTACACTGGGCAAGGCTAATGACCAGAGTGAGGACAGATGGCTTGGAACAGATGATGTGTTCAGAGGAAGATCACCTGCCAATCTGGGACACAACATGGCAGAATGAGGCCATAATTTTATCTGTAATTTCAGCCTTTAAAAAGGTTAATTGTCACCAATCATCTGGAAATGGTGAGTACCAGCAACAGCAGGTTACAACAGTGTAAACATGAGCACAGAGACCAGGAAAGACCAAGATACACTTTGATAAGTGAGGGGGATATCATATTTACAATACACTTTTATTTTTACATTGCTTTTCCTGCACATTAAAGTTAATGACAGGTAGAGTACTAGAAGATACACAAGACAAAACGATCCCACAGCATCCATGCCAGGTGTAGATAGGCTCCGAACACAATTCTATTACCTCAGTTCCATGAACCATCGGGAGCAAACAGCGGACCCAGAAATTGAGTTAAAAGTTCCAGCTGAGCTTCTTACCTTGGAGAAGGACAACCTGAGCCCTGGGGGTGTGCAGCATCTCCTTTTTTTTCCAGTAGGAATTTTGCTCGGGCTCTTCGTTTTCGCCTGCATTTCTTATATTTTGCCATTACTGTTAAAAAAAAAAAGGACACATTTAAAGTTACTGTATAGAAATACAGCCACCTTCATGTGGGACAGAGCCATTGTCACATAGGGAAGAACACAGACTGCATGTCAAAAATCCGGTCACAAGTTATTCACTGTTGTCTTGCTAGAAGCATCGCATAGAACTGATAAAAAATACATCCTTCTCTTTGTTCCTATGATCCTGGGATATATTTGTTGCACGCGTGAGAGAGGAGTGAACGCCAGAAGTACCATTTCGTATGGGCTTTTGTTGACAGTTTGTCCTGACATGACAAATACTGCATTTGGGGAAAGTTACGTTTGCGGAGAACGTAGGCAAAAGTCTATTTTTGAGACCCGGCCTTCCCTCGCTCAGCC